TTTAAATATATTTTGTGGATTTGCAAGTGGTATTCACGCATATTTCTTTTGTTTTATTTTATTTTATTGTACGTTATAACGTTTTTTTTTTCTGTGGCTAACATTTTGTAATGAATTTTTGTTTTAATACATGTTAAAATGGTCTTCCCTATTTATTTTAACTTAACCTAACCCAACCTAGTGTATAGACACAAGTTAAACTTATTTAGTAGCAGTACATTTTATAGTGGAATACAGGAGCAGCGACGAACAATATAGCTTTTAAATGAGTTATTAAAGTTTCCACAGGTAAGTAATTATAATAACAAATTTATTATACCATAAAGTTAATGGTAGTTAAGAAAATAGCAAGCTATGAACTGGAAGTATTTAGTTACTGAATTTCAGCGGTTTATTTTGAAATGCGTATACTATAACGAGCTTCTTTCGTCAGTTGACGTTATATATTTTGATACACTTCTGACATTAATAATCTGTTTTACGCTAGAGGGTGTTTTAGTCTCAAAAACAGCTATTGTTTTATCAGTTCTCTCGTAAAGTTTGTTAAGTAACCTGCTGGAAACGTAAAGGAAAATTAACTAGAAGGAAATGAAAAATACTTTTATCGTTAATTATATATGTAAAGTAAATAAAACATTATCTCATTTAATTTCTGAAAGACCTATAACAAATAAAAAAATTCAACCTCCAAAAGGGGGGGGGAGGTAAAAAGGTGTTGCAATTTTTGTTTGGGACTTACTAAATTTGTGGTCGAATTTACTTAAAACTTCGTATATATGCTCTTTGATATTATTAATCAAATGAAAAGAGATTGCAACGTTTCCATGGGGTATATTTTATTTGTACTCGGATTTACTCGAAGGTTGCTCATTATTGAAATTAAGCAAATACGTGTTTTGGCAATTTTTAAAAATCAACCCTGAAGGATTAAATGTTGTTGCTTCGTTTGTATTTGAAATCTAAGATGGCGACATTACATAAAATTAAAACACGTTGTTTTGGGTGAATTGGGAGTTAATAAAAGGTTTTCTGGATCTACAAGAATATCTTTGGAGTAAGTGTTATTTGTTCCTATGTTGAAATATGGAGACAAACTAATTTTGTCGACATTTTTTGCTTCTTTCAAATATCTTGTACTATTTTGTTCGCCACAAGGCCAGTTTAACACGTAAAAGGAAGGTTAAGTTCTCGAGTTTTCAAAACTCTCAATTTCGCATGTATGACAGAAAATTTCAACATTTAAGGCAATTATTGTGTCGATAAATAGAAAAATTTGTGCTTAGAAGAATTATTAAAAAAAAAAATACAAGGTGTAATTATACAACACGCTACTGAAGTGAAACTTCTTCAAACATACCTGGATGGGGGTTAAGGAATTGGTTTAATGGTTTTATTTGTACATTATGAATTTCAATTTTACACTGTACATGCCGGAGTTGCCTGTAACGAACGTTGCATTGAAGCGCGCTTACGGCTCAAGCGATCCCCACTACGAACTCAACTACATGGCCGAGTAAAGGGGGGACATCCGTCGCATGATTTCTTCAATCACACTAACATACCGAGATAGGGGTTAAGGAATTGGTTTAATGGTATTATTTGTGCACTCTAAATTTAAATTTTACACTATACATGCCGGAGTCGCCTGTAACGAACGTTGCATTGAAGCGTGCTTACGGCTGAAGCGATCCCCACTACGAACTCAACTACATGGCCGAGTAGAGGGGGGACGTCCGTTGCATGATTTCGTTACATAGCAACTCGCATAAAAGGAACTTATCCTACCGTGCGTAAAGAAGTTTCACTTCAGAAAAACGTAAGTATCAGATTAAACGAGCAAGACCAAGATTTAACATGCAGGAGCAAGACGAAGACTGAGACTATATCAACAAGACCAACATCAACACCGAATATATATAATAATAATTAAAGCACTCGCTTCGTTGATTCAAGTTCTTTCGTAGAACCATGTCTATAGCTAAATGTTAGCCATTTCAGTTTTAATAATGTCACCTTTAGAAATAATACCAATATTCAGTTATACCAACATGTTGCGTTTGCATGGTAATTATATGGCCTGCTCTACATCTGGCGGGGTAGTAAGTTCGGGCGAGACAGGGAGCTGGCTGTACAGTATCTAAAGGCATCGTCGTTATTGTTATGGGCATTTTAATTTACATAACCATAACAGCGGTGGTTGCTTCCATTTCAAATCTCTCGTGGATTGCTCGAACAATTTAAATGGAAATTAACGAGTTGGTGGACTGTCGGGTCACACTCCAGTAGTATGCTCGTCCCTCCCTTATTTTCATTTCGACAAAAGCTCTTTAGAAACACTCTGACTCCTGCTGGCATTAGTTCCGAAAACGGAAAATGGACAATGACTCGTTGGAATTGAAAACCTCACTCAGATATCTTCCATTAAATTTGACCTAGCAACAATTAGGTATGAGAAAAAATGATAAATAAATTATTAAATATAAAAGTAACTCTGACAAACAATAGCAAAATCTAATTTACTATACAATACACAAACAATACCATTAGCCATTAAACTGACACATTTCGTTAACAGACTATCTTCAACGTTAGACAATAATTTACGAAAGAACAAACTACTGCAGTGAAAAAGTTATTTTTTTTCAATTGTCTTTGTGAATTATTGGTCTTATGCTTACTTATTATTGTTTTGTGTACATTCTAAAATTTTTTAAACATTAATGTACACGAATTGTTCTGCGTGGTTCTTACCTAATAAACTTAACATAAATGCGAAAAAGGCGGCTAGTTCAGTATAAAAGATTATTTTGATAACATTTATACTCTTAACAAAGAGATAAGAAATCTGAAGTGATTATATGTCTAGCCTAGTTTTTGTACAACATAACAGTTTACGTGGCAGTAAGTAACATGTTCTTCTCTGACTTTTTGTTCTGTTTCTATTACATTGCACAAGAAAAATTATTTTTAGGTTCAATCTGAACTATATTGATTAATATTAGTCCAAGAATTTTTAAGTTTACCTTTCTAGAACAAATCCAGCTTATTTTAATAACATCAGAATATATGTGATTCTTACTGTGTGACCAAGTTCTTGACTTATAGACCCAAATTCAAAACTGCCACAATTACATAGCGTTTTTCCCATATAAATTTTTAAGAACATGTTAAAAATATTGAGGTTGTCGTAGGTATTAGTTTAAAACAACATCTTGTCTACGATTATCTATGTCATAAAAAGTAAAGAACTCTTCCGGGTGTTTTTTTTTATTATTTTGATTTCGTGTTCTGGCTATCGATACTTAAAATAGTTTCAAAATTGTATTATCTGAGCACTGACGCTCTTATCGAATTTAGAGCGAAAGCCTGATGGTAACATCACGTAAACTGTTCGGCAAATGTTCTCTGAATTTTCTTATTACTCTCACGTAGCCCGCTCGCGCAAGCCGGTAATGGAAACTCGAGGGAAGTTGTAAAGGTACCTACCTGTTACTGCAAATCTACTGGATAAATGCTGGAAAATCAAAATCAAATGTTACTATTCTTTAACTCTTAAAAACTTCACTGTTCTTATATTTGTGTAGGGTGTTTCATAAACATGCGGCAAAAATTCAAAGGGTTGTTCCTAATATATAAACGTCGAAAAATCCTCTCTAAGGGAATTGCGTCCCTTCAAATGGGTCACCTTGGACACGATTTTTCACCAATACTCTCGAAATTATTTGTAATGGAATTATAAAAGTTGGTGGGCATTTATATTGCATAAAACTTTGACATTAACTTAGAATCTGAGTTCACAATTTGAAAATATTAATTCGAAGCATACTATATTAAAGGGGTTCATCATAATCATCATCATCATAAGATTGTCAGTCTTAAGACTGGTTGGACACGCACCTCCACTTCTTTTTATTCTGAGCTAATCTTTGTATTTCCCTAAAACTAGAACATCTCACATCCTTTACTCCCTGTGCTATCCTCTGCTTTATATCTGTACTATTCCTTCCATCCTGACTTATCTGACTTCCTAGATACCTAAAACCAGCCACTTCTTCTAATCTTTCGTCTCCTATCTTTACATTCGCTCTTTCCCTGCTTTTCCCTCCCTTGCACGCCAGTATTTTTGTTTTATTGTGATACTTGACGAATTTTTACGTAAAAAGGATACTCTTGATTACTATGAAGCAAGGTGAAGTTATTCAGAACGAAAACAATACGGTTTCTAAGATGTTGATGAAAAATCGTGTTCAAGATGACATATTTGGAGAGGCTTAGCTCCTTTAATAAGAATTTTTCGACAAATGGTTATTAGGAACTTCTTTTCATGAAAATTCCTCAGTAATTACCCCTTCGCTTTTTGTCGTATGTATATAAAGTATGCTCAAGAAATTGGATGCGTTTCTCATAGAAATTTGACAAAAACCTGTAAAAGTATTTTCCTTTCCATTTTATTGTCTATGAATGGTAGGAATTATATATGAACTTAACATTAAATTACAAAAAAAAGGATGCAGAATTCTAGAAACACGTAACGAAATTCTAATGACATAAAACAAAGAAACTTTTAGAAAATGAAATTAGAATCAACAAAGATAAAGATGTAAAAATTCAAAATTAGGAGTATATACATTCAAATATAGAGCCTGCAATGAAGTGTACATCGAACGGACGAGAAGATCCTTTAAAAGAAGGGTGCATGAACATTTTGAAGGATATAGTCTGAAAAATTAACATTTTACTTACACATAGGATAAGGCATTGACAGGCGTATTACCCCCCCCCCTCCAGGTTCTTAGTTAAATAAAGGAGATCGACTTCGTTAACATCTCTAGTTTGTGACAACAACAATTTTTCACCCCCTAATACCTAGGACCCGGAATTGCTGAATGTCCTCGACTATTTCCGGGTCTGATTACTGATTACAAGTGTGTGTTACATTATATAGAATGTTACTCATTGTCGGTCGGGTTAAATGTTAAGGCTTGAACAATCTCTTAATCTTGTGACTAAGAGTGACCACGGAGCTAGGGTGATTTTGAAAATTCTACCCATGTCGTTCACTGAAACATATTTCTATGCGGACTGTGACCGTATCAAGAAGACTTGTCCCCCAAATGTAACAGGTAGACCTTGATTATTAGTTTGTTACAGTTAGCCCTACGTGCAAGCCAAATCAGACGCGCGTTTACGGCGTTGCGAAGCAAGAAGAAGCAAGGATAACGTGCTTGGTCGATGCAAATCCAACGGAACTGCAGTTCAAATGGACTTTTAATAATTCAGCAGACGCTGTGGACGTGGCCCAGTCCCACATCGCCAGAAGCGGTACGGCTTCCGTTGTATCGTATACCCCCATGACCGAATTGGATTATGGTACATTGCTGTGCTTTGCGAAGAATAAAGTCGGCGAACAGAGAAAACCTTGCGTTTTTCATATTATTCCTGCAGGTAAGACTAGTTTATAACCATGTTCGGTTAGATAGTATATGTACTAAGATCTTATACCATCAGCTAATCAGAAAAGTGGATGTTGCCACATGAAATTTTCCTTTAATAACTCTTGCTGGTGTCGCGTATCTTTTCAGATTTAATGTAGCGTGGCTTGTTCTGGTGTTATGTATATTTTGCGCTAATTGTGGGGAATATCTAGTATGAAGTCCACTTGAAATCCACTAATATCTACATGAAATCCGCATGTGATCTATGACACGATTCCATTCAATTCGGATGGAATCCGATGCAATCCTGATGTAATCCGAATTAATCTGGATGAAATCCGTAAAATATTTAATGTACTCCGCCTGAAGTTCATTGAAATCCGTGTAAAATTCGCTGAAATCTTTATGAAATCCGAGTGAAATCAGAATTTGATGCAGCGAAATGAGTAACTGAACTATGTAAGCAGGAGGGAGAATTTTTGAAACGTTATGTACTTACATATTTATTCAACATGTTACAAACTGGAGGATCATGGTGAGAAAGTTGTGAAGCGGTTGGTACTTTATCGGCTTGCACACAGTAAAGCATTCTATTAAATTAGATCTGGATCAGTCTCCAATACACAAATTTGGTCATCAATGTTGTTATAACGTTCCGTGTTGAAGATAAATTCTTTTGACGTGACAACGTCTTATAATTCGATGGAGGGCTGCACGTACGAAAAAACATGACTCATGCGGCGTTACCTCGCTCTGAGGCGTTCCATTTAAGGCTTGAAGTGCAAGCGAGAGCGCGGAACGAGCGACAAAGAGACACAATCGGCCTCCGCGTTCGGCAGCGTTCGACATCTGTCTCTCTCCTACTTGAGTGAGCGATGCGTCCGCGTGGACAGCTGCTATACAATAATACATTTCCATTTACCTCCTTCTCTATATCCATACAAAATATCTGTCAAACAAATAAAATTAAAATTTTCTTTTGAAAAATGAAACCATTCCATCAGTATTTTCTTATGACGTTGTCACGTTCAACTATCGTCAGTAAACCGACTTTACAGACAACCGATTTTTTTTTTTTAATAAGTTTATCTTCCAATCGTAGCGTCTAACACACACATATTTCTAGTTTATTTCTAGTAAATCCATTTATTACTTATAACTACATACTATATATGAAATGAAACTAAATTACATGACTTGTTTTTGAAATTCGTATGAAGAAATCCATTAGAAATTCGCATGAAATCATATGAAGTTTGATGAAGTCATAATTCACCAACTAAAGTACAATGCGATGAAATTTACATGAAACGTGATAAAATCCAAGTGAAATACGTAGAACAAAAATTTTTCTAATGCTTACCTCCTCGATATTTAATAATATCGTTACCGCCATCGGAACGACCCGAGCAACTCCAAAAATAATCGCTTGTAGTTTTTGTTGGCAACTAAATTTTGCTATAACTACTATTCAACTGTGCGCCAGATTCCCTTTCCGTCCAACTGTTTTCCCGTATACGGAGTTTGTTCTGAAATGCGATATGCGAAATATCCTTCCATGCAGATAAAACGGCAACAGCACCGAAAGCTATTCGGCCATAAATTTTTGCGTTTCTCGCGGTAGAATCGAGATCCAGTTTCCTCGCGGTGGTTGGTTATTATCCTGTTCTTCCTTTTCCAAGCAAAATGATTGACAATAGCCAAAGCTTTGGCTCAGGGGAAACCTTACGTGGAATGAGATATGGGTCATTTGGGAGAACGCCATTGCCGGCGTAACCCGTATTCAGAACGAGTTTGTATCATCCCAGCAGTTTTCAGGGAGAAGGGGAGTGATCCTTTCCGGCCCTTCGTCGCAAGTACAACGGAGCGTGTCCGCAAAGACGTTCTGGGATACTTTGCCAACGTGATATTAGTTTACATTTTGCCATCGTCAAGGTTTCGCTCGTGGAAGTATAGCGATCCCGCAGTGTAAACGTTTCGGAAGTTATAGGTCCATAAATGTTTCGTGAACTTTATATTTCTCGGAGAAGATGACGCTCCTTTATCTTTATCGATATAGGTATCCAAGTCAATCTGTAAAATTCGGCATTTTCAAATGCGGCTAAGCAAATTAGAAACTCTTTTTTAGACTGTTTAACAAATATTACATTTAAAAGTAAATAAAACTCACTTGAAATCATATCAATTATTAGCCTTTTTCAGAAATAAAAACTGAAGACCGTCACTATACAGTGTAAACTCTTTATAACGTCACTCGATTTAACGACAAACTCCTTAAAACGTCGAAATTGCTTGACTTTGGTTGGCTTACATTGTTTTCTATACAATATTACACTCTATATAGCGTCACGCTCACTCTATTTAACGACAACAATGCGGCATTATAAATCATTAAGCAGTACTTTCTAAGTTGCCGAAATAGATAAGAACTGCAGCTGTGTACGTTGTTGAAGAAGACGATCCTGTCCCTCCACCAAGCATCAAACAAGCACTTGATGCAGCGAAACTATTAAAAAAATACTTTTTATATAATCAAATTGATCCAACATCTCAAGATATGAGTAAGATACGTAACAAAGTACAATTAAAATATTGGAGCAGCAAAAAACATCAGACGAAGATAACAGGCTATACGCAATGTACGAATAATAATGTTCGTGTGCAAAATGTGTACTATACTATATAAAATAATATCTTTAATTTCTCTACATTTAACGACCACTCTTTATAACGCCGAAAAATGTTCAGTCCCTTAAGTGTCGTTAAGAATGTAATCGAGTTATAATTCCAGTTTGATTGAAGTAGTTTAATCAATTTTCATCTTTAAATTATATTTTTAGTACAGAGATGCAGTTAAGATTGTTAATTAATGTTTTTCTCTTAACGTTAACTTAAATACAATTTGTAATACAACATCTATATAGACAGCCCAACATACAGCAAATATTACAACCCCAGAATGTAAACTATTGGAAAACGTTTTTCTCACCAAAATAGCCTTTTTTATGTGAAACTCTATTATGTAGAAATAGTCAACTACTTAACAATACTGTTGAAGACAAATTCTTGTAAAATTGTAAGGTTGAAATCCTTACACATCCATAAGTTTATATGGAGTTGCTAAAAAAGTTTTTAGTTGCTAACTACGAGAGTTTTTTTATAAACTATCTTTTTAGTACCGAAAATAAGACGTCCATGAGGATATACAAACATTAATAGCAAATAATAATAAATGTTATTAAAAATTTTGGTGGAGGCGCAGGGGCAATTGAAAACAAGACTATAATTGAACTATTATTTCAGTTTAACTGAAGTAAATTGACAAGTTTTCATCTTCAAACTATATTTTTCCTTTATATATGCAGCTAAGGATGGTAATTTGTACTTTATTTTCACAGACAATCCAACATACAGCCGATATTACAACTTTAAGAATGTAACTACAAAGAAAATTAGAAAGTTAGTTTTTTGAAATTAAATACGTTATGTAATTATAAGCAACTTGAAAAATACTTAAAGTTGAACTTAGAGCCTCAAAAAAAGTCCCGAGTGGCTTATTAATTGCAAACTACAGAGGTTATCATTCAAACCCATGGAGTGTTGCTCACTTTGTCATACAAAAGTTAGTGTATAAATCATTTTCTTTTAAAATTGCCAATTGTTCAATTGCCGTGTCCAAGTTTGCGCCACAAATTCGTGTCTAAAGTAAGCAGACCGCCTAATTTTGCAAATGGCCGCATCCAGAATGCATCAACCCGATGGCGTTCTGCACTGCTGAGCGTAATGCGGTTTGCACATGAGGGCTAACGGGGTAAAGGGTGTCGGGTACTCGCTTCCTACTTCGTATGTACGTAATAACTGTAATTTATCCTGGAAGTTAGCGTTTACTCGCTAATGAGGTTGTATCGTCCATTTTGTTGCTTATAATCGCTAAGAAATTCAAGCGCAACGTATGCGAGGCTTTTAGACGCGAAACGTTGAACGTTGTCAAGCTATAAATTATATATTCACAGCGTACCGTTACAATCTATCCTTAAATCGTTACTTTAAAACTCACATTTTCAAAGGGAAGAAAGGCGAGAAAGAATCTGAGCTTGAATAGAAACATTCCCAGAAATTAATAAGAAATCATCACTGTGGCTTATTAATATGTGCTAAGATTTGAAATGAAGAAAACTGTAAGGGACTTAAGCATCCACTCTACTGCCCCTACTTAACCCCTAGTCCTTCGCGGAGATATAGTTCAAGAATTGATTCACCCAAATAGGAGTTCCTTATGCCTGAACCGAGCGCTCAGATTAACTGAATCATCCTGCCTGACATTTACTGGTTCCTAACTCATCAACTCTAAATAATCAGAAGAAATAATAAATAGTGTTAAGGTAAATTAAAGACGCTTATGTGGCAATAAGACAACATTTCAAAAGCAACAATAAATAATGCTTTTTAAAGGTATTTAGGTACTATAATAATTGTGAAGATTAAGTACGTGAAACCAGGACAAACTGAAAGGTGCAAGGACATGTAGTAATGTTAAATGTGCTAAGTTGTATCAGGGTTTTTCTCTAGTTTGTACTGATGTTTGTCTATCCAATCCTTGACATATTGTTGCAGGAACTTCAAGTTTCTCTTCTGTGATTATACATTTCACCATTCTTTTGAATTCAGTAGATGATTGCTAAACAATTTAAAACTGTGTTACATATTTATCTAACAAAAAATAGCGTTATTAATCAGTGGGCAATAAACAAAGATTTGCAAAACTTAAAACAACTTTCAGTTATACTTCTATTCGTAGCAGTACAGAGGTTTTTTGTTTGTTAGAAATTATTCTAATGAAAACACTATTTTACTGGAAAATAATGCTAAATCATTTACTGTTGGATGTGTTTTAGAAATGCTAAGAAGAGTCATAATTAATCTGCATCAAACTAAAATTTCAAGAGTACCTAAGTTATCATATATCATTAGATATAACTCAAAACATAAAGTAAAAATCAAATCAACAGTGAAGCAAGAAAAACGTAAAGTGTAACACTATATACATATGTTATGTAAATCTTTGTAGCATTCGTATTAAAGCTGATTCGACATGGTAATAGCGAATTTTACACACCAGTTTCGGTTTTATAGTTACAAACCCGACCTTCCTATGTAAAATGCTAAGATAAAATAAAATTGTATGCCAGTATAAAATTGAGTGTATGAAGTTTCCATCTTATGTTTAATAACTCAAAATCTCAACGTTTTCCAACTCTAAAAACTCTGGGTTTCAAGAACAGTATAAATTCTAGATCAATAATTTATCGTAAATGCTAGAGATTGATCGCGATTTCGATCTTATTAGATCTTGTCAGCTCACCACTGACGGTTTTGATTATAAATCAACGACCAAACCGAATCTACGTATAGCAACTAGTTCAGTCAGTAAAATCGATTCACAATCTCTGAAATGTTAAATTGAGAGAATCCTTTGATTTAATGAACATTTTTTATTTATTTTTAGTTGGTTTTATTCGGGACAGAATACGTAATAAATTAACGTTATCAGTTATTTTTAAAGCAAATTTTCCTTCCGAATGAAAGTGAATTATTGCTGTCCTTATTTCTTCAAAAACAAATTTACCCCATGACAATTTCAAACGTCCTGATATTAAGCAGATACATTTGATAATGTTTTAACAACATATGTAGAGAAATCCTTATCAAATCCTAATTTAAAGGATTTTCGTTTATTATGGCGTAAATACACAAATTCTGTATAATTTTTGGTGTGTCAAGGTGTCTTCTTTTTTTCTAGGTCGACCAGATCAAGTACAAAATTGCAGCGTTTCAAACATATCAATGTCCTCTTTCTCTGTTAAGTGTATGGAAGGATTCAACGGTGGTCTTTCTCAAGCCTTTTTCGTTGAGGTAAGATATTAATAAGTTTTAAGTTCATCGAAGCACTTTTATTTAATATGAGGCTTTTTTTACAAACTTGAAAACATTGACATATGGCATTAAAACAAGAATTAAAAAAAGTATTCCAATGAAAAGTAAATAATATTCCCGAAGGATAGAAAAATTAGTTTTATTTGATCGTCAAGGATCTTTGTCGCCTATTTAGGACATTAACGCGAGCGCGAATTAAGTCGCTAGTAAAACCTAGTATTAATTTAAATGCTTACTACATACTAATTATACCATTAGTAAATCAGAAAAAATCAACAATGTTTGCAAATGTGGATTTAAAACGACTCAAGCGAGACATATTTTTACAAATACTGTCCACATCAAACTAAATTCTTTTTAAAGTATCGACTTGAAAGAAATGGAGCTTCGGGGCAATAATAATAGTCCTGCAAATACACTGCTGGTTCTCCATTCCTTACAAATGTGTACAGTTTTCAGGAACAAAATGCTTATTATCATTACTTTGCAATATTNATTGAGGTAAGATATTAATAAGTTTTAAGTTCATCGAAGCACTCTTATTTAGTATGAGACTTTTTTTACAAACTTGAAAACATTGACATATGGCATTAAAACAAGAATTAAAAAAAGTATTCCAATGGGAGTCACGTTGGGATAATTTTTTAAAGCCGCGCTTTAATTATAACAACAAGGCCTTTCCCCCTATATCAGTCTAATTAAAATTACAATTACAATGGTTATTATTCGTGCAACTTCACTGCAACTACTGTTTTATATTTGAAAAGCTCGAACTTTGTTTCTCATTTTCCACTTTCTACTCAAAATATTGTTTTTTTTTTAAACTCGGCTTTTAATCTTTGCGTTTATAGCACATATCACTCACAACGACTTAGGAAGTCGAAGTTACTTTTGCATATGTCTGTATTAATTATTTTTGACCTAAATTGTGAATATGTAGACTCTAATTAAAGATAACACCTCAGGTGTCAAAACGTGTTTTAGGTTTTTAAACATTTTCGGGTTTTAGTGGCAATTTAGTCAAAATTCACAGAAACTTCTTATAAACATTATCAAAAGTACAGAAAAGGACATAGGGTAGATTTGGTCATTTTAGTTCAGCAAAAAGAGCGCTCATCTTAGTTCGATTATTTTTCCGCGACTGGTTCGCTCTTATAGTTCGTTAGTTCACTGNTTCCAATGAAAAGTAAATAATATTCCCGAAGGATAGAAAAATTAGTTTTATTTGATCGTCAAGGATCTTTGTCGCCTATTTAGGACATTAACGCGAGCGCGAATTAAGTCGCTAGTAAAACCTAGTATTAATTTAAATGCTTACTACATACTAATTATACCATTAGTAAATCAGAAAAAATCAACAATGTTTGCAAATGTGGATTTAAAATGACGCAAGCGAGACAAATATTTACAAATACCGTCCACATCAAACTAAATTCTTTTTAAAGTATCGACTTGAAAGAAATGGAGCTTCGGGGCAATAATAATAGTCCTGCAAATACACTGCTGGTTCTCCATTCCTTACAAATGTGTACAGTTTTCAGGAACAAAATGCTTATTATCATTACTTTGCAATATTTAGAGTGTTCTGAGAAGGCATATCTTTAATTGAATATCTCCATGGTGCCATGAAGGAAAACGATCTCGTTCTTTTATTGTTCCAATTCCATTAGATGTTTTCCCTTTCGACTTCATGACTTTTTTGTTTTGCTTTTTCGTTTTTCTACGAAATTGCTTTTAAGGTGTTTGTTTTCGTTTTATCGTAACTTCATTGTTCTGATGTAAAGTGATTCTCAAAGTTAAACGTTCCAGGTGCGGGAGTCAGAAAGTCAGGAAGTAAAAGCGAATGTATCTTCGCCAGTTTCGCAATTCTACATAACAGATTTGAAGCCAGGAGTTCACTATCAAATGGGGCTATTCGCGTTTAATTCCAAAGGACGCAGCGAGCCAACTGTTTTACAGGCGTCTACACTTCGATTACCCGAAAAGCAGTTAACCAGTGAGAAAGGTTAGTCTTTTTTCATCTGTTTCAAAAACTCATGAATCCAGTATCACTGTTCAAAAATAAAACACTTATTGTAAATACACATATACCTAAGGGTCGTTTTTCTAGACTAATGGTGGTATTTGCACTATGAAGATTGAATATGATTCATATTTTTCTCTTTGAAGTGATTGAGATACAGCTTTTCTATGTTTATGTTATTGTTTCTTCAGTTCAGCAACAAATAATTCTTCTATATGCTTCCTTATTTACCTTTGTCAGTCGTTTTAATTGGAAAAATGACACTGATGCGAAAATAGTTTGTTTACCGTGAAAGATCAGAGCCATAATAGGGTTGCAAATAATTTAATTGTTGTAAAATCAACATTAATCATTTTATATCAAAACATTTACAACCCCATTTTGTTTCCGATTTTTACACATTGAATAAGAGAAGGAGGAGTTCATAATTTCTTTAGTTTTGGGTTCATCTAATAACTGAAGTTTTTCGAATCGTTTTCTAAGAATTTTGGATTATAGGCATTTATTAGCACACCATAATATCTTGCAGTTGTCAGTTTTACACAGCTGAGTATATCAATCGATGTTGTTTTGCGGGCCGTTTTGTTGTAATTCATATAATTTCGTAGTTCCATGCTAAAAGTATGATAAGTGGTGATTTGGCAGGTACTGATATCAATTTGGAACTTCAAAATTTCATGGACCATGACATTCAACACCGAAAACAATATCGATCCAATATTTTAGATTATCCATTTCCAAGCAGTTTAGAATTTTTTGGATTCTCTTCAGTTAAAGAATTAGATGTCATTCATGAAATGTCTCTTTGTCCTCTTTTTAAGCTTATAATACCTTTAATATGTGAGCAACTTTCATTCATCATTTTATATAATGTTTGATCGGTGATACTGGCAAAACTTTTAGTGGCAAAAATGAATATTCCATTTTACAAATAGAAAAGTATTTTAAATAAAATACAAAATACTTTTCTAAAAAAAAAAATAGGTATTTCTCATGTCTGCATTTAATGTATACCTACATTGAAAAGTTTGCGACAAAGAAGTTGCACTTAAACGCTATAATTCGTTTAAACCGTCGATTGTTGTTTTTATTTGCCCGAGTGTTTCTTTTTCAATTCAAAGAACATCCAGACAAAGACAACTGTACGGGGGTTGTAATCAGAACACAATCGCGAATTAAATTACAACGGTAACGAAGAAGAGTGTACGTATAACGGTCAGCAATTTATTTGATTTATTTCTTATCATGCATCGTGGCTCGGTCTGCCGTTGCCATTATCCCGCAGGTCCGTAATAATACATTTTCCTCTTTAGATTATGAAGGAAATAAAGAAGGCCAATTAATGTGGCATGATGCAATTTTCACGCGGTCTGTTTTGTGTGTGTTTCCAGGCATTCTTCGATCCGGTCTTCGCATCACTCCTTTCATAAGCGTCGTAATTGGGGTCGTTTCGGCTTTATTCATTGTTTCGTTGGTGGTAATACTAATTCTTCGTCTCAGATGTCCCAACAAAGGCCAAAGAAAACGGCAAAAGAATGCCGCGACCGCTGCAGTTACAGCAGCCAACGGCAACTCTGATCTCAGAGGATCCACCAATGATATCACAGATAAATCAGGTTTGTTCAAAATTAACGAGTTATTGATTTACCTGGTTTTATCTTTATATAGTAGGGATATAAAGCAGAGGATAGCGCAGGGTCGAGTCGCCTTCGATAAAAAGAAGTCACTTCTATGCTCGCGAACGGTTAATTTAGAAATTCGAAAAAGGCTGGTAAAAGTGTATGTTTGGAGCACGGCGCTGTACGGGTGCGAAACATCGACAGTGGGCGCGGGGGAAAAGAAAAGGTTAGAAGCGTTCGAAATGTTGTGTTACAGACGAATGATGAGGATACCGTGAATAGAGAAGGTTGAAAATGAAGAGGTGTTAGAAAGAATAGGAGAACATAGGACTATAGGACGCGAGGTTATTAGTAGGACACCTTCTCAGGCATGAAGGACTAGTCAGAGACATATTAGAGGCAGAAACAGGAGTTAGGAGGGGTAGAGGTAGACCTAGATTAAATAACTGTTCGCAAATAGTTAAGGATGTGGGTTGTTCTAGTTTTAGGGTAATGCGAACATTAGTGCAGAATAGGAAAGAGTGGAGGTGCGTGTCCAACCAGTCTTAGGACTGACGACCTTATGATGATGATGATGATGATGTGTACATGCAAACAAAGTATCATAAATAAGACAACTTGAAATAATGGAAATAAATTAAATCATCCTTTGTTTTGGAGTTTGAATATTTGCATCTTTGAAATAAGCCTTGTAATAAAATGTCTAATAACTAAAACAGGATTATCATCTTAAGGTTGTCAGTCTTAAAACTGTTTGGACATGCACCTCTACTCTTTCCTATTCTAAGCTAATCTTCGCATTTCCCTAAAACTAGAACATCCCACATCCTTAACTATTTGCAAACAGTAATCTAATCCAGGTCTATCTCTACCCCTCTTAACTCCTGTTTCTGCTTGTAATACGTTTGTAACCAGTCATTTATGTCTGAGAAAGTGTCCTACCAACTTCTATCTAACCTGTTTCTTATTGACCTTTGTTCTCCTGTTCTTTAACAATCTTTTTCGAATTTCTTAATTAACCCTTTCCGATTCGACCCTGCGTTACCTTCTGTTTTATATCTCCACTGCTTCTTCCATCCTGAGTTATCTGACTTCCTAGATAATGAAATAGGATATCATCTTAAAAAAAACTAAGTGCAGGAATCAATTTAATGTTGTACTGATAAAATACTTTATTAAAAACGTACGAAAAAGTGTTTCATATACGCCTAATTTAATGACATTTTACTCTTTTATTTGGATTGCATGAGAGTTAATTAAATATTAAGGAATCAAGCAAAATATCCTGTCTACTTCCCATGATCTTCTAAAGTTAACCTAATATCCTTTCACAAAGGGGGTAGTCCGATATCAAAACATGACTCGAGTGCTGGAGAATGCGACAGCGACGAAAAAAATCCGGACATTATACCACAACCGATCGACGGAGGTGAAGATGTGTCAGACCTTTGTAGACGAAGGCAGCAGGTGTCAACTATAGAAACATCGTCTCCTACGAGGAGTCTACTGCATGCCTCTGGAGCTGGTGGTGGTTATATTGGATACTGTACCCTTCGAAACGGCATGCCCGTGCATGACATGAGCCAACAAAAACTGGTAAATATTAACCCAGTTTAGATATCTGGTCTTCCTTAATAGTTACGTTACGTTTCGAAAGAGAGACGCCACTGTGAAGGCATGAAAAATTGCAATGTTTGCAATTTCTTTTCTGTTAGTTAATTAATTTTTTATTGAAGGAAAAATATGTATAGAATACATTGAACTATACTTATACAAAATTGAAAAATTTCATAGTGGCTCCATGAATAAAAAAAAAATACAGCGTGTAATTATACAACACGCTACTGAAGTGAAACTTCTTCAAACACACAAACATAGGGGTTAAGGAATTGGTTTAATGGTAATATTTGTACATTATGAATTTAAATTTTACACTATACATGCCGGAGTTGCCTGATTTCGTTACATAGCAATTCGCATGAAACGAACTTACCCTACCGTTCGTAAAGAAGTTTCACTTCAAAAAATGTCGCCGCATGGTATCTACATCGTGCATGGAATATCTTCATGTTGGCTCTTTTAAATCAACTTCACATTAACGGCCACTACTATTTTAGTGTATACGATTAGTAAATGTTATTTGTACGTACTAACCTTCTGTATACCTTTCAAGGCTCCTTTAATGGCACCGTTTCCGCCTTGCACGTTACCCCGACAGGTAGCGCAGCAGTGGCAATACGGTCCATTGAGTCACTTACCTCCGAACATGTATCAGATGCCTCAGTACAGAGGTCCGCCGCCTAATCTAAGGCCTAGACTCAGGGAACCTCCGATTCCTCTTCAAGCCATTGTGGCAACGGAAGAGGAACCCAGTCCCAACACTCCGCTTGTAAATAAAAGGGAAAGCTCCGTTTGACAAGTCACTTTTCTTTAGGACATATGCGATTTTAATGAACGAAAGTGAGAAACTATACATAGGTAACTTAGGAAATTAATGTCTAAATCGAAATTTCGTTTTTTTTTTTTCTCTCAATAAACTAGTTGAATATGTATAAAGGTAATAAATTTAAAAGATATCAAACTCCTAAGCCGAAACAAATCCGTATTTACTGAAGAATTTTTCCCGGATTCCTTTCTTTTTCAATAAAGGCCAAAGAAAACTATAAAAGGATGTCGCGATCGCTATCATTGCGGAGAATCCACGAATGATATCGCAAATAAATCAGGGGTGTGTTCTGAAATATAACCTCAGTATGCTGATAACGTCATGAATCGACGCCATACTGTTGATTCGTTCCGAAATATACTGGCCAGTGGGTTGAGGTTAAATTGCCGCCATAATGAGAATACTGTTTGTGTTCGTTTACAACAATTTTGCTTCAAAAGTTATTAAAGTTTCTTATAATAAAAAATTCCTAAAAGTTTGATGCACACACGCCCGTTTGATATGCTACTACGTCACACTTGTCTCACCAGTACAATATGGTGGCACACCAGTACAACATGGCGTCGATTCATGACGCCATCAGCACTGGCCAGTATGCTAGGTTATATTTCGAAACATACCCCAGATTTATTGTATTCACCGTAATTGAAACCGCAATTGTAATCGACTGATTTTACTTAACGTTTCGCTGCTCATGCTGGCCGCTTCTTCAGAGGGGATCTATTAACGGCTTCAGTCTTTAAATTCCTTCTGAAGAATCTGATAGCATGAGCAGCGAAAGATCGAGTAAAATTAACCGACAAGGTGGTACTCGAAAGAAATTTCTTCAGTAAACAACAGCCCTACGAAATTCATATTTGTTACAAAATTTTAATAATACAAATGATTTAAGCAACAACAGATAAAACAAACTTTTCAGAATGAATTCTTAAATAAAATGTTTATTTAGATGATATTCAGATGATACAAGTATACAGCTATTTTTGAACGAAAACAAACATTTTATCCATGGCCATTTACAAAGGTCAATAGGTAGAATAAATAGGAAATTTTAAAATCAAATTACTCATTGGTTTGCAGTCAGATCTCACATCAAATAAAAACCAAACAAATCGAAAAACAATTCTCTTTTTAACGTGTAATTGGTAAATTAATTGAACGTAAACAATGGTACATCAACATAAAAAATTTTATAGAAATACCATCACCTGTTTGCCGGTGTCAATTGGTGAACTTTTGGCTTGTTTGTTTTCTTTTCATCAAATATTTTGTTGATATAATGTCGGCGAATCCAATTCTTCGATCCGGTTATCCAATTTTTTCTTGAAGTCTGTTTTTTGGGATGCATTATTTTCATTCAATTAATTCACAGTTACACGTTTTGATAGATTTGTGTGCCATTTAATTAGTCTTACAACATCCAAACCTCAAATAGATTAAATATCCTTTGCTTAAAATTCATTTCTGTTGTTTTAAATATCTATTGTTAGGCAAATACTATAAATAAGCTTTCATTTTCAGGCTTAGGAGTAAAAGAGAAAAATGACTGATAAAGCGCATTTTAGAAAGTCGAAATATGTAAATAGATAAAAGATTCTTCATTCCCTTCTCATTATTTATACGACGTCTTGTCTTCTAAAAACTTATATTTCTTTGGCTTTAAAGCAGAAATGGAAACTATCTGTAACTTTGGTTGTGTTTTGAGAAATTTTATAAATAATTTCCAAAGAATATAAGTTACCGTTTCTACAAATCCCTGAAGCACACAAAATTAAAAACAAAGTAAAAAAGTTAATTTCATATTGTAAATATTGTAANGTTGAATTTTCCCTTAGACTTCTTTATGCCTAAAGTATACAAGAAATAAGGATGGATATTCGGAATTTCAAATCCTGAAATGACTTAAAAGGGTAGCAAAGTTTGTATGGAACGTTATTGTTTGTGGTTTGAATTACTTGAAACTTGGTCTTAATGCTCCTTAATATAATTACCTAATCAAACACCTAGAGGAAGAGATAGGTGCTAGTGTTTTTCTAAATTGTTGACGCATTCTTTTCTAACCTTTTGTTACAATCGTGACTCATCAATGCCTAGGCTAAACGCTTGGTCCTAGATATAACTGAAATTTTCCTCTGGGTTTCCTTTATGATGTAAACATGAAATAAGGAAAGTTGTTAATTGTTATAAAGAAAATGGTAAGAATTAGTCGTGATTATTATAAACCAGCGGAATTTTAGATGAGAGACGATTGTAGTAGTAAATATATATAAAAATGTGCTGGTAATTATAATTGTTACGAGTTCGTCAAAAAATTGATAATTCGATATCAATTTTTCATATTATATGCTTTCCAGGGTGTTTTATAGGATATTTTATCTTCTATGAAACAGCTTTGGTCTATTTTTCTTCTGTCTGGCTTAGTTTTTGAAGTAGCGGAGTGTAAAAAATGTTTTAATGTATTTTTGATATCTGAATAGAAATACATAGGTAATAATAAAGTATAGAGGGTGTCCCAAGCAAGCGGGTTTCTTCAATAACTTCTTTACAATTGAAGATATCAAAAAACAAATTCTTACAAAAGTGGTACCATATAAGTATCTTCATATCCTAAAATTATTTTCGATTGAAGCTATGTGTGAAAATAGCACACCTCTGTGTGCTTTCGCTTCGGAAATATTCAAAATGGCGGAGAATTTTATGGAAATTGATGCATTTAATATATGGTTAACAAAGTGGTATTTAAGTTTAACGAGAAATTCAAAAATGCAATAAAAGTAAATAAATTCTAATATATTGTGTGAATGTGTATTGTTGGCTGCATATACTATACATATTTATTCTGATTTAACTATTATCTGTCTATTTTCTAGCAGAGGTCGTCCCTACTCTTCAATTATACGAACAAACGTCGCGTTATCTCGGCATTGTCTCGATTATCACGGCGAAAATCTGTGGCTTTTAGTTTACAGCTTTCAGTCAGCTGTAATAGTGTTTTCCGTTGTGTTCGTATGCCGGCGAACTTTATAACAACTTTAGGCGGAAATGTGCGTAAAACATTAAACGCGTACTTTAAAATCGATTAATGGTTTATTGATCAATAAATCGGTGTAACAGTCCATTCCATCAGTACGGATGTTGGTTTCCTATCGCTGGCTAATCCCATGGAAAATCACCTTTACGTTTCGGAATCAAGGTAAGATTTTACCATATTTTGATATTGTTTAGCTCTAGATAGATGTAATACATATATAAACTTGCATAATAGTATTGGAGAGTCAAAACGATCAAGAAAATTGACTGCTAAAGGTGTAATACGGAAAAAATTACGAAGAAAATTTGCAACATCAAAAATTAAAATGTGTTTGTTTTTTTCAATAAAAACAGTTGTAGTCTGGTTAAGGAAAGTCAAATCTCGAGGAGCTTCTTTTTTCCAAATTGTTCTTTCTTCTTTTGTGGCATTTTGTTAGAATCCTGATTCATCAACGCCCAGGCTAGACGCTTGATCCTAGATAGCTGAAATTTTCCCATAGGTTTCCTTCCCTTTAAATAAGGATGACTATTTCGAAATTCACGTCCGAAGGGGGTTAAACAGGGTAGCAAAGCTTGTGTGAAACATTATTGTTTGTGATCAGATTTACTTGAAACTTGGTCTTAATGCTCCTTGATATAATTACCTAATCTAACACCTCCTTCGGCACTGAAAAATTAAAACCACTGGATAATTAATTTTGTGAATTTTTTGTAATTTTTCAGCTAAAAAACCTAAAAAAAAATCACAAAAAGGGTAATACAACAAGTTACCTATGTAAAGTTAATCAGTTAACGAATTTCATGTTTTGAAGTAATTTTTCTTATAAATTCCAATTAACAGTAAAAGTTACGTATTATATTTCAGTGCATTGAGGAAACTGAAATATTAACTTCCATTAACTTACAATCATTTTCACGAAAAGTTGGAAAAGTTATCTTTTCCAAAATGGTTACATAAACGTTTTTCTTTTGAATATCTTGCAAGGAAAATAGGAATATTTTATATAGAACTTTTGCTTACCCTAATATTTTTGAAGGGATGTTGTTGCTCTTCCAAAGGAAAAGATACTAGCTTTTTTCTGAATTGTTGACACATTTTTGACTTATCAATGCCCAGGCAAGACACTAGGTCCTAGATAGTTGAAATTTTCCCCTAGGTTTCATTTAAAACATGTACAAAAAATAAGGATTAATATTTCGAAATTCAAGTCCCCAGAAGGTTAAAAAGGGTGGCTAAGTTTGTTTGGAACATTACTGTTTTTGGTCAGATTTCCTTGAAACTTGAAACACCTATTATTTCGGCATTTTAAAATATTTAACCTCGGGTTTTGTGAACTTTTAGTAGTTTTGCAGTTGAAAAACCTTAAGAAAGTTCACAAAAAAGAGTATACACAACAAGTTGACTACGTTATAAACGCAATCAGTTAATAAATATCATGTTTTGAAGTAATTTTTCTTAGAAATGTCAGTTAGCAACATTTTATCTGAAACTTTTGCTTGCACAAACGTTTTTGAATGGATGTTGTTGAATTTTCCCTTAGACTTCTTTATGCCTAAAGTATACAAGAAATAAGGATGGATATTCGGAATTTCAAATCCTGAAATGACTTAAAAGGGTAGCAAAGTTTGTATGGAACGTTATTGTTTGTGGTTTGAATTACTTGAAACTTGGTCTTAATGCTCCTTAATATAATTACCTAATCAAACACCTAGAGGAAGAGATAGGTGCTAGTGTTTTTCTAAATTGTTGACGCATTCTTTTCTAACCTTTTGTTACAATCGTGACTCATCAATGCCTAGGCTAAACGCTTGGTCCTAGATATAACTGAAATTTTCCTCTGGGTTTCCTTTATGATGTAAACATGAAATAAGGAAAGTTGTTAATTGTTATAAAGAAAATGGTAAGAATTAGTCGTGATTATTATAAACCAGCGGAATTTTAGATGAGAGACGATTGTAGTAGTAAATATATATAAAAATGTGCTGGTAATTATAATTGTTACGAGTTCGTCAAAAAATTGATAATTCGATATCAATTTTTCATATTATATGCTTTCCAGGGTGTTTTATAGGATATTTTATCTTCTATGAAACAGCTTTGGTCTATTTTTCTTCTGTCTGGCTTAGTTTTTGAAGTAGCGGAGTGTAAAAAATGTTTTAATGTATTTTTGATATCTGAATAGAAATACATAGGTAATAATAAAGTATAGAGGGTGTCCCAAGCAAGCGGGTTTCTTCAATAACTTCTTTACAATTGAAGATATCAAAAAACAAATTCTTACAAAAGTGGTACCATATAAGTATCTTCATATCCTAAAATTATTTTCGATTGAAGCTATGTGTGAAAATAGCACACCTCTGTGTGCTTTCGCTTCGGAAATATTCAAAATGGCGGAGAATTTTATGGAAATTGATGCATTTAATATATGGTTAACAAAGTGGTATTTAAGTTTAACGAGAAATTCAAAAANGTAAAATAAAGAAAGTAGGTATTAATTTATATAAAAAAATAAAGGAAAGTATTAAAAGCAAACTAAATTAAGAGAAAGAAGAAGAAAATTATAAAGAAAAGATCTTAAATTAAATATATGCTTTCCAGGGTGTTTTATAGGATATTTTATCTTCTATGAAACAGCTTTGGTCTATTTTTCTTCTGTCTGGCTTAGTTTTTGAAGTAGCGGAGTGTAAAAAATGTTTTAATGTATTTTTGATATCTGAATAGAAATACATAGGTAATAATAAAGTATAGAGGGTGTCCCAAGCAAGCGGGTTTCTTCAATAACTTCTTTACAATTGAAGATATCAAAAAACAAATTCTTACAAAAGTGGTACCATATAAGTATCTTCATATCCTAAAATTATTTTCGATTGAAGCTATGTGTGAAAATAGCACACCTCTGTGTGCTTTCGCTTCGGAAATATTCAAAATGGCGGAGAATTTTATGGAAATTGATGCATTTAATATATGGTTAACAAAGTGGTATTTAAGTTTAACGAGAAATTCAAAAATGCAATAAAAAATGGGGCATTCTATTAAAAAAAAAATGAAGTTAGGTAGCGTCCAGGAAAAATGGGACACTCTGTATAATTGAAAATAGATTGAAGATATGAAGATACTTATATGGTAGCACTTTTGTAGGAAACTTTCTTTGATATCTTCAACTATAAACCAGTTATTGAAGAAACCCGCTTGCTTGGGACATCCTGTATATTTGTCTCAAGTTAGGGCAATATTGTGTAAGATGTAATTTTAATAAAAATCCTTTAGGATCTTTCGGATGGTTTTTACTTATTCAGGATTTTTGCTACCCAAGAATGCTTTATTTGACTGATTTATTTTAAAAAAATTAATTTAGTTTTTCAAATTAGTTTAAATTTTCTTAATTAATTCACTAAGACTGTTTTAATAAAGGTTTCTTGACGTAGAAATTCTTAATTTTCATCTAACTAACTAAATAAACAATTGTCCAGCTTATTTAATTTTTATTGAATGAAATTTTTAAACGAATATAAGACGTTATTAACTACAGTGTTACAACGTGGCTGTGTTTTCTCTTATCTGCGACGAACAAAAGATAATCATGACTTTCAGGCATCGTCCTCTAAAAAAACGTGCACGATAAAGCACACATAAGCTTCAACTTATAATAAAATTTTACCAATAAAACAAAACTATAAATTTTACAGTCTCAACTCTTTATTAATAAGTAAATATTTAATTTTTCATATTAATTATTAATTTTATAGGTATACTTAGGTATAAAAGTTAGCCAGACTGTTAAATCTAAGTTTCCTTTAAATTGAAATACCTAATGTCTTATTTCTATTTTTTTTTTTGATATTATATGTTATAGGTAATTTAGTATTGTACTACGTAGTAATAATTTCTTAATATACATTGAAATACGTTTGTTAATGTGATTCTAGATATATCTACTTATTTTTATCAAAATTATTAGTAGTATGTATGACGAGATACGTAAAAATCTGTATAAATAAACATTAAAGTATGCGCTGAACTTCAGAATGACTGTACCAAATTGGATAATTCTTTTTTTTTGTGTTCATTATTGTCAGAATAAGGTTTTTATAAATGAAAATTTTGAAAAAATCGAATGGAATTTTTTTTCAAAACTCATACTTGAGTGAGTGAATGAGACAGACAACTGTGAGAGATGAGATCTTCAATGTATTGACAAACCATCAACAAATTGACGTTGAGTTGTTCAGCCAGCAGTTGATAACTTCAACAAACAGTATTTTGTTAAAAAAAAAAACAGGCCTTACGTTAGTTTACGACTATTTCTTCTTTCGTAACAGAATGTTTCGTGTGTTTTGATGTGTTATTGGAGTTGTGTCGTGTTATTGAAAAAAAAAGCCAGATAAAAGATTTTGTCTAATTTTTTGTCATTAAGTACGTAACGTTTCCGCTACTTTATAATTTGATGGGTGAATCACTTTCGATACATTAAACTGGTTAATATATGAAATTATTGATAATCCAACTGATTTGAATTTACCGGAAGTGTTACATTTTCTTAGCCGAGGCGGGCATAAATAGTAAAACAAGTCTTTCAGGAATTCCGAAAATACTCACAAAAAGATGAATGAGGATACCGTGGATAGAGAAGGTTAGAAATGAAGTTGTATTAGAAAGAATAGGATAGGACATGTTAAAGGCAGAAACAGGAGTTAAGAGCAGTAGAGGTAGATCTAGATTAGATTCCTGTTCGCAAATAGTTAAGGATGTAAGATATTCTAGTTTTTAGCTCAGGATAGGAAAGAGCGGAGGTGCGTGTCCAACCAGTCTTAGGACTAACGACTTTATGATGATGGTGACCAAATAAAATTCTTGACTAAATGATAGTATCCTAGATATTGAAAATAGCCGACATAGTTAGTTTAATCCTTTTACTAGACGTTTTAATCGTTATTTATTTCCAAAAATTAATTAACTAAATACAGTATTTTGTCCAACAACATATGGTCCTACAGAATGTTTTGAAGAAGGTCAATGGAGAATATTTATCTATTTGTCTTTCTCTTTATTATATAGAACCTTCATCAGTATAAGAATAATCCTCTGTATAATTTTTCATTCAGAATTCATTTTTTTTTTAATTATAATTTTAAATAAGTAGATATCGGTATAAATAACTACGATAAAAAAAGTGTATTTTCGATTTAAATTTTTAACTACTTATATTATTTGAACGCTTTGAATTTTAGTTGATGGTTAGGATAGAAGAGTAGACGTAGGCCTACATCAGATTCCTGTTCGTAAATAGTTAAGGATGTAAGATGTTCTAGTTTTAGGGGAATGCGAAGTTTCGCTCAGGATAGGAAAAAGTGGAGGTGCGTTTGTAACTAGTCTTAGGACTGATGATGAAAGAATTTTAAAGGGATCGTGAAATGATTTAGCTTTTGTACCGTTGCAAGAAGAGGAAGTTCGGGAAGGAAAGGTAATTTTCGCTAGCATTTTTTATGGCTGCAGGACGAGGTGGTGGTTTATTGGTTTGAATTAAAGATTTATTTTCAATCGAACTCGAAATTATATAGTATGCTGCACAGTTGCAAATTTTTAGGATTTCCATCTAGTTCAAGTGCTCTCCGTATTTAGGTTTATCGATAGCGCCAGTAATCCTTTGCTCCAGTGACGAACTGTAAAATTCCTCATTAATTCGGTATTCCCCTTAGGAAGATTGGGGAGCTAAACTATTAAGAAAATTACTGGTGCATAAAACACAGTAGATAACAAATTGCAGAAGATACATCTGCAAAAGTTGATTTGGAGAAGCTGTTAAACATTTGTAATTAAACAAAGTGATGCTAAATATTAAAAATTAGATGAAAAATAATGACGTTTCGTCATTGTTTAAAACCGTCAAAGATCATTCGTTTTTAAAATAGTTTTGTTTCACTGCTAATTTTTAACAGTTTCACTAAATGGAATTTTGCAACGGATCTCGTTACTTACTATTTTTATGCCAAACTGTAACTCTCGAAATAGCTGATTAGACAGATAACAGCGTTTATATTTATGTTTAGTTTTGATTAAAGTTGTAGTTTCCGCAAATAAATTCTCACCAGCGCATTTTTACTTTTAATGTTAGGTGATTTTGGTCTATTAAAAGTTTTTTAACAAATACGTATTTCATTATCAGCTTACAGTGCCCAGGACTTCAGGCCAAGACAAGATTGATTTTGGACCACATATTGTCAGTTTTATCATCCCAACGCAGCAAAGGCAAAGAAGATCTAGGAGATGTGAGATTTATTGAAATTATTTTACTTAGAAAATTTCTTATTTTTTCTTTATTATTAGAACCTGCAGTCTAAATGGTGGACGATCAAAGGCAATGGAAATGTACAGTTAAGCAGGACATCAAGTCCAGCAGAAAACATTAGCACTATCATGTCGATGTCGTTTCTCTAATGTAAACTCAATCAAAGCAACAGGAACGTAAACGAAATGTAAGATTTACACATTTACCATACTTTTTAGTTACTTGTTAATGTGTTTATTTATTTTTGGAAGTTGGTTTTATCTTTTTATTGACTTTTTTTTCTTTTCTTTCGTTTTACTTACCTTTTATTTTCTGTTTACTATATTTATTTACTATAAGACCATTTTAAAACTTTTCATCATTCCGATATCCTTTGTTTCTATCTATTTCCTTTCAATTTATTTAGTGTAAAAACTTTATCCTTAATTTTTTTTTCTTTTAATTTACTTTAACAATATTAAAGATTTTAATTTTTTACGTAAAGCTTTTAATAAAAACTCACATTTCTTTAAACTTAATCTGTAAACGTTTTCTGCACATTAAGCCTATTTTCAAATTATTTCTTTTTAATAAACAGGATTTGAAATTGGGATCAACCAGAGTCACACACTGTAAAGCTTCCCAGTACCAATAATGGTGTAATCCAATTCAATAGAAATGTGGAGTTTACAGAACATTGAAAAGAGGATAATCAAGCTCCAATTCAAAAGTCCACATCACCCAAAGCAAGGTGCATCAACGAGTTTTATTTATTAATATTCTTTTATTCTTGCATCTACTTTTTATCTTTTTACTTGTGTTTAATCAACATTTTTCCTATCATTTGTTTCTTTTAATTTACTTTCCTGTTCTTTGTTTTTATTTTCCTTAATTTGTTTTTTTGTTAACTTCATTCAAGAATTTACTTTCTTTTTGTTTACTTTAAAATTTTGTCCAATTTGCTGACGCTACATTTAGATGTTTGTATCCTTTAATTTTAACTTAATTTAAAACCTTTCCCTTTACACTAGGAAATTTTTTTAATATTTCCTTTTTTAAAATTTTTATTCTGGATTTTAACTTACTTATTTTTTATCTTTTTAGTTATCAAGACAAAACATGGAGGCAAGACTGACCCTCCAAATCTACAAAACTACCCAAAGCTAAAGGTGGTCGTCCAATCTATTGGAGATATAAAGTCAACAAAGACATGTAAGTACATATTTATTATATCGTAGGCAGTTGATTAAAATTACAGTTAAACGTATATTGCTATTTCAAAAACTTAAATTAGAATCAACTAATATCGGAAAATCACTCAACTGTCGTAATATTGGTTCTTCATAGCCCATAAGCTTCTGTTTTGGTGATTTTTTTATAATATCAAACATTTTCAATTTATTATTATATATATTTATTCTGTGTGCAAGTAATTACTTA